AAAAAAAAAAAAAAAAAAAAAGATATCAAAGAATGGTGCTCTTGGATTCACCCATGGCTAATTCCAGTACAGTTCAGTTCACGCTACTGATAACGTTTTCTTATAGAAAGCTTACATCCTTCTGACTTTTATTTCAGAACAGGTATTTCAAGAAAAAAATAAGGCCCTTTTCTTCAATGAGTTAGCCATAGGAGCCTAGGGGTACTTGGGACCAAGGTTTTTCTTGCTGGATTATCTCTCAATAAATATCTCACTTCTACACTTCCCTTTGCTTTGCATCAGTGGTTTTCAACCTTGGGTGCACATGTGAAACATCTTGGGTACTTGAAAAACATCTTCCATGTCTCAGCCCTACCCTAGAACAGTGGAGTCTATCCCTGGGTGCAGGGCCCAGGCCGCTGTAGTCTTAGAAGCCTCCTAAAGTGAGGCCAGGTACAGTGGCCCACGTCTAAAATTTCAACAGTTTGGGAAGCCGAGGCGAGCGTATCACCCGAGGTCAAGAGTTCGAAGCCAGCCTGGCCATCATGACGAAGCCCCGTCTTTACCCAAAATACAAAAATTAGCTGCTCCTGGTGACAGGCACCTGCAGTCCCAGCTACTTCAGAGGCTGAGGTGGGAGAATCGCTGAAACCCAGGAGGAGGAGTTTGCAGTGTACCGAGATCTCACCACTGACCCTAGCCTGGGAGACAGGGTGAGACTGTCTCAAACAAACAACAACAACAAACACAAAGGTTTTTATCTGCAGACAGGTCCATCTGCCAGGCTGCAATAACATAATAAATATTGAAAAGTCAAGACTTACCTTTGATTGTCTCTCCTGGAACTACCTTATTGGATATGAAATAGCATGATGCATTGCATAAAGTCACAAAGGTGGCAAAGATCACAAAACCGCCCAGGAGAACGTTCTGTAATGTGAAGAAAGATCAGGGTGAAGAATGAATTAATTCAGAGGATAACCCTTTACTGAGTGCTGTGTACCAGGACCTCTGCTGGGCTCTGGTAGAGGTTATGAGGTGGAGCTCCTAACCTCAGGTGACTTAGCGAGGACGCAAGACCCGCACAAGTCACTAGCATGAACTACAGAAAGAGGCAAACAGGAGTCACCAGGCATAGGGCAGTAATGATATGTGGGCTGTTTCACTGCAGAGGAAGTTCAGGAGACCTTTATAGATAAGGCAATCTTTAGCCACTTTGCAGAACATGTAAGAGTTAAAGGACAGAATGAGGAGTTTCATGAAAAGAATGAAACGTTAACAAAGATAGAGAAGAGAAGCAACAAACATATATAGTTGAAGGCTTATTGTAGTTAACTGGATTAGCTGGAGATATGACTGGAAAAATAGGTTGAGGCCACGCTGTGAACACAGAGGGTGAGGCTAGGAAGTTCATTTCCCAGATCATAAAGGCATCTTTGATGGCTCCATGAACAAACCAGTAATCTAGGCTGAAATTGTAGAACAAGGAAAAGTATCTAGTTGACCTTGTCATCTTTTTGAGATGAGCGAAATAAACAAACTTTAATATGGTAATTTCTGGGAACTCTTGAAAGGGAAGATGGTGTTCAATGAAATATATAGGAGGCCATTGGTTTGGACTGAGCTCCTGCACTAGGCCGAATAGACAAAACCAAAACGCAGTTGCCCATGCTGAAGTTCTCTGCTACTAAGCCAGAACTAAGTTGCTTATCCAACCTTCTAAGAAATCAGGAGAGACTGAGAGGTAATAGCCAAATGCCCAACAGGCCAGTTTTAGCTGACATGATAAGAAAGTCCCTTCTGCTTTAATTTTTATAAGCAACGTCACTTCAAAAACACCAATTCAGTGTCTAGTCTATGTTTCTGCTTTCCTGGCTCTATTCTGTCTATAAAGGCAAACCTCTCTGGTCAGCTCTTTAGAACACTCCACCTATTTTATGGAATAAGGTGTTGCCAGATTCTAGACTCGTAAGTAAAAGTCAATCAAGGGCCGGGCGTGGTGGCCCATGCCTGTAATCCTAGCACTTTGGGAGGCCGAGGCAGGTGGATTGCTGGAGCTCAGGAGTCTGAAACCACCCTGGGCAACATGGTGAAACCTGTTCTCTACTAAAATACAAAAAAATTAGTGAGGCATGGTGGCCTGCACCTGTTATCCCAGCTACTCAGGAGGCTGAAGCAGGAGAATCGCTTGAGCCCCGGAGGCAGAGGTTGCAGTGAGCCAAGATTGTGTCCCTGCACTCCAGCTTGGGTAATACTGTGAGACTCTGTCTCAAAAAAAAAAAAAACGAAGTCAATTAAGATCTTTAAACTAAATATGTTGTATTTTTGTCTTTTGACAATGGGAATGAAAGCATTTATTCTGTAAGATTCCTGAAATTAATTATGAAGTGATGCCACTTGACATAGAATGTGGCTCATATAAGAATAGACAGATAGGGGCCAGGCTCGGTGGCTCATGCCTGTCATCCCAGCACTTTGGGAGGCTGAGGTGGGCAGATTACCCAAGATCGGGAGTTTGAGCCTAACCAATACACAGAAACCTTGTCCTACTAAAAATACAAAATTAAGCAGATGTGATGGTGCATGCTTGTAATCCCAGCTACTTGGGAGGCTGAGGCAGGAGAATCACTTGAACCTGGGAGGTGGAGGTTGTGGTGACTGACCTGAGATAATGCCGTTGTACTCCAGCCTGGTCAATAAGAGTGAAACTCTGTCTCAAAAAAATAAAAAGAATAGGACAATAGGGAGGGCACGATGGCTCACTCCTGTAATCTCTGCAATTTGGGAGGCTGAGGCCGGCACATCACTTGAGCTCAAGAGTTCAAGACCAGCCTGGGCAATATGGTGAAACCCCATTGCTACCAAAAATACAAAAATGAAGTCCTGGTGCTGTTGCTCACACCTGTAATCCCAACACTTTGGGAGGCTGAGCGGGACAGACCACCTGAGGTTGGGAGTTTGAGACCAGTCTGACCAAATGGAGAAACTCGTCTCTACTAGAAACAAAGTTAGCCAGGTGTGGTGGTGCATGCCTGTAATCTCAGCTACTCAGGAGGCTGAGGCAGGAGAATCACTTGAACCCATGAAGTAGAGATTGTGGTGAGCTGAGATCGTGCCATTGCACTCCATCCTGGGCAACAAGAACAAAACTGTGTCAACAACAACAAAAAAATCATACAAAAATTAGGTGGGCGTGGTGGTGTGTTCCTGTAATCTCAGCTACTTGGTGGCTGAGATGGGAGAATTGCTGGAGCCCAGGGCGTTCGTGCCTGCATCAAGCCATGACAGCCCCACTGTACTCCAGCCTGAGTGACAGAGTGAAACCCTGTCTTTAAAAATAAAAAAGACAAACACAGAGTTCTAAATAGAGAACCTAGAAAGTTCCAAAGGTAGGTGGATAAGGTGAAAAAGAAAAATTAGAAAACCAGAAAGTATAAATATATGTAGAAGTCTGTTATAAAATAAACATGGTCTTTGAGATCTGTAGAGAGGAATTATTCAATAAATGGTATTAGAACAAGTGGTGAACTATTTAGGGAAGAAACAAAGTTAATTTCCTACTCGAGTCCCCATTAGTGAAACAAACTCTAAAAGGATTCAAGGGTTAAATTTTTACAATGAGATCATAAAATAAATACAGCATATATATGTAAATACTTATTCTAACCATAAAAGACAAAGAGATTTCAGAATATAAATGTAAGAACATAATTGAAATTAGAAAAATATCAAATTTGCAGAACAATATCATTATATACCAATGGGAAAAGTAAAACGCCTTTTTTTTTTTTTTAGACAGAGTCTCACTCTATTGACCAGGCTGAAGTGCAGTGGTGTGATCACAGCTCACTGCAACCTCCACCTCCCGGGTTCAAGTGATTCTCCTGCCTCAGCCTCCTGAGTAGCTGGGACTACATTTGTGTGCCACTACATCCTGCTAATTTTTTTGTATTTTTAGACAGGAAGGGTTTCACTGTGTTAGCCAGGATGGTCTTGATCTCCTGACCTGGTAATACTCCCACCTTGGCTTCCTAAAGTGCTGAGATTACAGGCATTAGCCACCATGCCCAGCCTAAAAAAATCTTTTTTTTTTTTTTTTAAGACAGAGTTTTGCTCTTGTTTCCCAGGCTGGAGTGCAATGGCGTGATCTCAACTCACTGCAACCTCTGCCTCCTGGGTTCAAATGATTCTCCTGCCTTAGCCTCCCGATTAGCTGGGATTACAGGCACGTGCTACCATGACCAGCTATTTTGTATTTTTAGTAGAGACGGGGTTTCTCCATGCTGGTCAGGCTGGTCTCAAACTCCCCACCTCAGATGATCCACCTGACTTGGCCTCCTTAAGTGCTGGAATTACAGGTGTGAGCCACCACGCCCAGCTGAAAAACATCTTAAACAGAAAAATGGCAAGAGAAATAAAGTGGCAAGAGAAATAAAGTTTCTTAAACACACACACACACACACACACACACACACACACACACACACACAAATGATTAATAAACACATGAAAAAGTTCAATTTACTGATCGCAAAAGAAATGTAAATATGTAGATAAAATAGAAACATAATGAGATGCCAAGAATAATCACTGAATTTATAATACCCAGAGGGAAATAGAGGCATCTATGGGAGGTGATATGCACAAGGATGATTTACTTTAACAACTGTTATGAGAGCAATTCGCTACTATATATCCACATTCCTAAAACTGTTTACAACATTTGATTTCACCTTTTCATCTCCAAGATGTGATCCTAAAAATGGCACAGAGATAGACTCCTCCACAAGGATGCTCACTGCAGTGGAAAAAATGGAAAGAAACCACATGCCCAAGAACAGAGCTGGTGGAGAACAGTGACTCAGAAAAACACCTGGTGAGCCAGCAAGGTAGAAGGTGAAGTCACCTGAGCAAATGATCACGTGTCATTACACAAAGTGAAGCAGGCTATGAAATGCGTGATTCCCATGACTCGGAGAGAGACGCACAGAAAACACTGAAGGTTTTGTACCAAATAACAAGTCATTTTTGATTGGTAGGATTATGACAATTTTCTTCTTTGGACTTTCTCTCTTATTTTCTAAATTTTCGACAGTAAAATGTATGGAGTTTATAGCAAGGAAGAAAGAAAAAGAAGAAAGAAAAGAAAGAAAGAAAGAGAGAGAAGGAAGGAAGGAAGGAAGGAAGGAAGGAAGGAAGGAAGGAAGGAAGGAAGGAAGGAAGGAAGGAAGGAAAGAAAAGAGAAAGAAAGAAGAAAGAAAGAAGAAAGAAAGAAATTCTTTAAAAACAACTCAAAACCCTGATATATTCAGCTCAAGCCAGGACTTGGAGTGGCACTTATTCTGTTTTATTCTTCTTTTGCCTAACCTTCAGCTCAAAATCATTGTGGAAGCCTAAACATTTTTTTTATTATAAATTCTTTTTTTTTCTTTTTAATTGTACTGTAGGTTCTGGGGTACATGTGCAGATCAGGCAGGATTGTTGCATAGGTACACACGTGGCAATGCGGTTTGCTGCCTCCATCCCCCGTCACCTACATCTGGCATTTCTCGCCATGTTATTCCTCCCCAACCTCCCCATTCCCCCACCGTCCCTCCCTTGGCCTCCGCCAACAGACCCCAGTGTGTGATACTCCTCTCCCTGTGTCCACGTGTTCTCATTCAACACCTATGTATAAGTGAGAACATGGCAGTGTTTGATTTTCGGTCCTTGTGTCAGTTTGCTGAGAATGATGATTTCCATATGCATCCATGTCTCTACAAAGGACATGAACTCATCATTTTTTATGGCTGTGTAGCATTCCATGGTGTATATGTGCCACATTTTCCTTGTCCAGTCTATCATCAATGGGCATTTGTGTTGGTTCCAGGTCTTTACTATTGTAAACAGTGCTGCTATGATCACACATGTGCATGTGTCTTTATAATAGAATGATTTATAATCCTTTGGGTATATACCCAGTAATGGGATGGCTGGGTCAAATGGAATTTCTATTTCTAGGTCCTTAAGGAAGAGCCACACTGTCTTCCACAATGGTTGAACTAGTTTACACTCCCACCAACGGTGTTCCTATTTCTCCACATCCTCTCCAGCATCTGTTATCTCTAGATTTTTTAATGATCACCATTCTAATTGGCCTGAGGTGGTATCTCAATGTGGTTTTGATTTGCATTTCTCTAATAATCAGTGATGATGAGCATTTTTTCAAATGTTTGTTGGCCTCATATATGTCTTCATTTGAAAAGTGTCTGTTCATATCCCTCGCACAGTTTTGGATGGGTTTGTTTGTTTTTTTCTTGTAAATCTGTTTTAGTTCTCTGTAGATTCTGGATATTAGCCCTTTGTCAGATGGGTAAACTGCAAAAATTTTTTCCAATTCTGTTGGTTGCCGGTTCACTCTAATGATTGTTTCTTTTACTGTACAGAAGTTCTGGAGTTTAATTAGATCCCATTTGTCTATTTTGGCGTTTGTTGCCAATGCTTTCGGTGTTTTAGTCATGAAGTCCTTGCCTATGCCTATGTCCTGAGTGCTTTTGCCTAGGTTTTCTTCTAGGGTTTTTATGGTGTTAGGTCTTATGTTTAAGTCTTTAATCCATCTAGAGTTAATTTTAGTGTAAGGTGTCAGGAAGGGGTCCAGGAGACCTAAACTTTTTTCCCCAAAAAAGTAAGCCTTGTTCACAGTATTTTCACTCCCTTCTTACAGAAAGAAGGCTCTGAGGGACGGAGGATCATTAGAAGCTTGGAGATCTTGTTCACTGAGTCACAAAGCAGGAGAGTCAACAGGGACAAGCAGGGCTGCAGCCCAGGACAAGTGACACGTGCAAAATCCCCAAATCTCCTGCAGCTCTAGAGCAAAGGCATGAGATTGAACAACTGGGGATGGAGCCCAAACATGGTGACAGCAGAGAGAAAATTATTTCATTAAGAGATTTCCCACTTGACAGTGTCTCAGAAATAGGCTGACACTGACTCTCTTTCTCTCTCTCTCTCTCTGAAGCTCAGTTTTCCTCCCCTGTAAAAAGAGGGGTTCTCCCCCTTGGGAAAGCATTAGAGTTACCCAGGGAGCTAATAGGAAACACACAATCTCAGGCTCACTGAAGAAAGAAAAAGCCAGTGCCTCCGTATATTTACCTATGTGAGAACCCAGGAACAATGCTCAACCCAGTGCTGCTTTAATGTGCATATAAATTCCTGGGAGGGTATTTTGTTTTTTTGTTTTTCTTTGGAGATGGAGTCATGTTCTGTCACCCAGCCTAGAGTGCAGTGGCGCAATCTCAGCTCACTGTAACCTCTGCCTCGGGGTTCAAGCGATTCTCCTGCCTCAGCTTCCCGAATAGCTGGGATTACAGGTGTGCACCACAATGCCTGCCTAATTTTCTTATTTAGTAGAGATAGAGTTTCAATATGTTGGCCAGGCTGGTCTCAAATTCCTGACCTCAAGTGATCTGCCCACCTCAGCCTCCCAAAGTGCTGGGATTATGGGCATGAGCCACCACACCCGACCAGAGAGCTTATTCAATAACATGCAGATTCTGCTTCAGTAGGTCTACAGACTTACATGGAAGCTCCCAGGTGATGCCCACGCTGCTGGTCTGAGGCCCACCTCTGAGTAGAGAGACTCTAAAGCTCCTTTTCATTCTTGTCTTCTATTCTGCCACCAGCCTTCCCTCCCTTCGTGTCTTCCTTTCCTGCATTTAGTAACGATGAGCCCCTGATGTGTGCAGACACAGGAGAGTACACCACCATGACAGCATGGGCTAGGGTTTTCTAGATGGTGCAGCTTCATGGTCAGCCTTAAGGTGAAGCAGACAGGCGGTGCCCTTAGATGTTGTGTCTCTTGGGCCAGGCGCGTTGGCTCACGCATCTAATCTCAGCACTTTGGGAGGCCCAGGCAGGTGGATCACGAGGTCAAGAGATCGAGAGCATCCTGGCCAACATGGTGAAACCCCATCTCTACTAAAATACAAAAATTAGCCGGGTGTGGTGGCACACGCTTGTAGTCTCAGCTACCCAGGAGGCTGAGGCAGGGCAATTGCTTGAGCCCGGGAGGCAGAGGTTGCAGTGAGCCGAGATTTCACCACTGCACTCCAGCCTGGCGACAGAGCAAGACTNGCTTATTCAATAACATGCAGATTCTGCTTCAGTAGGTCTACAGACTTACATGGAAGCTCCCAGGTGATGCCCACGCTGCTGGTCTGAGGCCCACCCCTGAGTAGAGAGGCTCTAAAGCTCCTTTTCATTCTTGTCTTCTATTCTGCCACCAGCCTTCTCTCCATTCCTATCTTCCTTTCCTGCATTTAGTAACCATGAGCCCCTGATGTGTGCAGACACAGGAGAGTACACCACCATGCCAGCATGGGCTAGGGTTTTCTAGATGGTGCAGCTTCATGGTCAGCCTTAAGGTGAAGCAGACTGGCAGTGCCCTTAGAAGCTATATCTCTTTAGGTAAATTACCGCTCCTGGAAGGGTCTTACCGCATGATCAAGAGTTAGGGGTCTGGTCAGACATAAACGGCTCATGCCTGTAATCCCAGGACTTCAGGAGGTCGAGTGGGGAGGTTCACTTGGGCCCAGGAGTTAGAGACCAGCCTAGGCAACATAGCAAGAACTCATCTCTACTAAAAATATGTATATATATATATATATATATATACACACACACACATATATATATATACACATATATATATATATCTGCAAAATGGTGTAAACAAAAAAAATAAGAAAAAAAAGAAAAAGTAAAATTAAAAAAAAAGCTTTTAAATTACTAAATAAAGACTTGGGGATCCTCAGGATCGCGGGCAGGCAGGGGTATTGCCAGCTGTGCAGCTTGCTAAGTTCCTGTGAAGCTGCATGGAGGATGGGCGGGAGGAGCCAGTCGAGTGGAGATGGGGAGAACCCCCTCACCTCCCCAGTTCTGCCTCAGGACAGTTTCTGAGAGCACGTTTGTCTTGCGGCATGACCCAGAGGAGGTCCGCTCTTGAGGACCCACTCCCTGGTTCCTCCCACTCGGCTGGCTGTTTCTTGCCTCATCTCCCTTGCAGCTCTGAGAGCAGCCCAGTTCATTCCCTGGCATTAGCAAAGAAGGTTTTACGAAAGATCAAGTTTAAGATGCAAGAAAAGCCTGCATGGGTTTTTATAAATTTTGAAGCAAAATTCTTTCTTGGCCAGGCACAGTGGTTCACACCTATAATCCCAGCACTTTTGGGAGGCCGACGTGGGCAGATTGCTTGAGCCCAGGAGTTCAAGACTAGCCTGGGCAGCATAGTAAAATCCTGTCTCTACAAAAAATACAAATATTAGCTGGGCATGGTGGCTCGCCTGTACACCCAGCTACTCAGGAAGCTGAGGTGGGAGGATCACCTGAGCCCAAGAAGGTTGAGCCTTCAGTGAATCGGTCCTGGAAGGAAAAACAACTTGGATCTTAGAAAACAGAACCAGTGCTAAATTCAATAAGAATTTCCCAAGCTCCAGACTCTCATACTCTGTACATTGAATTGCAGGTAATAACAAAAGATTCCTAACTAGGTTTCATTTACCATTCAATGCTGTGCAGTAGAAGCACACATCACAGCATATTAAATAAGGAATACATACTGTTTTTGCTTTTCTGGCCTTTGTATATAAAACCAGTTACCTACCATTGTGACGAGCAGGACTCCTATAGGCAGGTACATCCAGGAAAAGTCACATCAAACTTTTATACTGACTAGGGCAACCACGCATTTGAGACCATTGGGAATGATAACAAGGTGGGAACACATTGTGTGTTTACAGAGGGTTGACTATCAACAGGAAAGTATGGTTTCAGATGATTTATGAGTTACTAATCAATCAGATCTCCACCCCAGTTATATGTTTACTTTGTCCCCATCCTGATCTGAATTTGCTCCTGACCTAAAAAAGCAGAGGAAGAGAGAACTCCTCTTTGCTAAGCCTTCATTCTGTGCTGGTGGATTGCTAGCATGTGATGTATGACATGTCCTTATTTAATTTCACACACAAAGAAACAGAGCCTCAGGGATGCCAGTCACAACAGCCAGGAGGTGAAGGTGGTCTTCCTGAAGGCATAAGAATAGCCCACCAGGCCTGCATCTGTGGCCCAGTTGACACTGCCCTTACGGTCTGGCATGAGAACAGAAAGAGGTCAAGCCATCCTGCAGGGCACAGGAGAGCAAGATCTACATACAGCGCAAGTTTCTGTGACAAGCTTAATCGCTGGACCTTTGTAGAGCCCTCCTTGAATCGGTCCTGGAAGGAAAAACAACTTGGATCTTAGAGAACAGAATTAGTGCTAAACTCAATAAGAATTTCCCAAGCTCCAGACTCTCCTACTCTGCACATTGAATTGCAGGTAATAACAAAAGATTCCTAAACAGGTCACACTTACCTTCAATGCTGTGCAGTAGAAGCACAAATCACAGCATATTAAACAAGGACTACACATTCTTTTTTGCTTTTCTATCCTTTGTATATATAACCAGTTACCTACCATGTTGACGAGCAGGACTCCCATAGGCAGGTGCATCCAGGAAAATTCACATTAAACTTTTATACTGACGAGGGCAACCACACATTTGAGATCATTGGGAATGATAACAAGGTGAGAACATATTGTGTGTTTACAGAGGGTTGAGTATCAACAGGGAAGTATGGTTTCAAATGATTTATGAGTTACTAATCAATCAGATCTCCATCTCCACCTTGGTTATGCGTTTACCTTGTCCCCACCCTGATCTGCGTTTGCTCCTGACCTAAAAAGGCAGAGGAGGAGGGAACTCCTCTTTGCTGAGCCTTGGCTCTGCGCTGGTGGATTGCTAGCAAGTGATGTATGACATGTCCTTATTTAATTTCACACACAAAGAAACAGAGCTTCAGGGATGCCAGTCACAACAGCCAGGAGGTGAAGGTGGTCTTTCTGAAGGCATAAGAACAGCCCACCAGGCACACCAGGCCCACCAGGCCTGCGTCTGTGGCCCAGTTGACACTGCCCTTAGGGTCTGGCATGAGAACAGAAAGGGGTCAAGCCATGCTGCAGGGCACAGAAGAGCAAGACCTACATACAGCTCAGGCTTCCCCGACAAGCTCAATCACTGGACCTTTGTAGAGCCCTCCTAGAATCCGTAGTCTACTCCCTGCTGCATCAAGCAGGCCTTCCTTCTCTTCATTCCACCGCGGTCTCCTCCCAAACAGCCGCACCTGCCCTCATCATGGCCAGGACGGCCTTGGGGAACAGCAACAAGCAGAACCTCCGAGGGTGCCGGAGGGACTCACTACTTTATCCGTTTGATCTGGCCACAACAGAACACCGCAACTGGTGGCTTTGACTAAAGAAACATAATTGCTCACAGTTCTGGAGACTAGAAATGTGAGGTCAGGCCATTGGGGCAGCTCGTTTTCCTCTGAGGCCTCTCTCCTTGGTTTGCAGAAGGCCAGGCCCTTGCTACCTCTTACATGGCACGCATCCCTGGTGACTCTGTGTGTCTGAATTCCCTCTTCTTATGAGGACACTAGCTGTATTGGGTTAGCGTCCACTCCAACGATCTCATTTTACTTAAGTCCCCTCTTTAAAGGCCCTGTCTCCATTACAGTCACATTCTGGGATATTGGGGCTTAGGGCTTAAACCTATGAATTTTGGGGGGATGCAGTTGAGCTCATAGCACAATTTTATTCCAAAAAGTCCCCCCACTCCCCACCACAGCTTGCTACAGTTCCAGAAATTTAACCCTGACTTCCCTCTGCCCACAGATGAGAGTTCACGCTCCTCACCAGGGGTCCTTGAAGCTCTGAGCTGGCCACAGTGACCCTTTCCAGCACCCTCCTCTACCCTCCCTAAAATCAGCCCCACCACCCATAACACAGCTTGGGGTCACTCTCCTGCTCCTTGAAGAGCTGTGGTGCTGTCTGGCTGCCTCCCCACTCACCAAGGGGGCCACACACTTCTGCCTTCACCTGCATGAGATTGAAGTGTGCATCGACTCTAAGTTCCCAGAAATCAGGGCACATTCGTCATGCACTGTAGCCCCTTGGTTTCTTTAAGACTGCAAGTTTGAAGAACTTCCCTCAGTGTGAAGTGGAAAGTTCTTACTTTGGGAGTGGCTAGGACTTGCTGCCCTCACCTCCTTGCCTGCAGGGCACAGGCATGAACCTCAGCTCCGCAAACACTCTCATCCCAGCAAGGCCTCTTCAGAGACGGGTCAAGGACACTGGAATCCCGCAGAATCTCCCTGGGAATGACGGTGTGGAGGGTTCTGGCTCTCAGGGCAAGGGTTTCTGAGTCCCCTGTGCAGTGTTAGCGCATGGGGGCCGTGACCGTGACTGGTAGCAGGGTGGTCATGCTGGAGCCGTGCAGCAGTGTGGTTTCAGTGCTCTACCTGACCTTGTGCCAACAAAGCCGGTGCCTCTGGCCTTTAGTAGAGGCTTGAATTCTCTAATCAATCTCTTTCCAGCTCAAACCATCTAGAGCAATTTCTATTGTTTGCAGTAAGAACTCTGTGACCAAGACGGTGACTGTGACCTATTCCTGTCAGTGTCCCTCCCAGTGACCGGCAGGGTGCCTGGCACAAAACAGCTGCCCAGAACAGGATTTCACTGGGTTATCTCAGCTATTCCCAAGTAAAAAATATCCTGGCATGACCAACCCATACCATTGCTGAAATCTCCTGCTCCCAGGGCTTGAGAAAGGGATGCTGAGGACAGGTGTGGCCAGCAGCCCACAGGGAGGAAGGCAAAACTGAAATGAGCAGCGCTTCCCGGGTGTGACAGCCAGAGCTGACCGAACCAGCCTAATCTGTTTTCAGTCTTGATCCTCCCTCAACTCCCATCCTTACAGATGGAACCAGCTTGTTTTTCTTTAATTATTTCTTTTTCTTTTCACTTATTAATTTTGTTGAAAGACCAAGTCTTGCTCTGCTGCCCAGGCTGGGGTGCAGTGGCACCATCATAGCTCACTGTAACCTCCAATTCCTAGACTCAAGCAATCCTCCCGCCTAAGCCTCCCAAGTAGGTGGTCTACAGGTGCCCACCACCACACCCTGCTAATTTTTACATTTTTTATAGAGACAGGGTCTTGCTATGTTGCCCAGGCTGGTCTTGAACTCCTGGACTCAAGTGATCCTCCTGCCTCCACCTCCCAAAGTGTCAGGATTGCAGGCATAAGCCACCATGCCTGGACCGATTATTAGTTTAATGGCTGCCTTTTATTCCATGGAATGATTTGGGCCATCACTGATTTGGTCAGGTCCCTCTTGTTGAACACGCACATTGTATCTGACCTTGTTTTCCTATAATTTGGAACACTGTTGAAATCCAGGTCCATCTGATAAAAATTTCCCACATTTATACTAATTTCTTTAAGATAAGTCTATAGAGGTAGAATTTTGGGGTAATAGAAAATTATAATTTTCTCAAATTATCACCTGTTATTCTGATAGGTGGGAAATGTTTTGTGTTAATTTATTTTTCTTTGCTAATTGGCAAGATTAGACATTTTTTTGTATATGTTCTGAGAAATTGTTTTTCTTCCTTTCTGAGTACCCTGTTCACTCATGTCTTTTAACTATTTTTCCATTTAGGGTATTTATATGTTTCTTCTGGGCCTGAGCCTTAATATATTAAGGCTCCTAATATATTAAAGATGTTAACATTCAAGTGTCACACATGTTAAAATATTTCCCTGATTTTTTTTATGGGCAGCACACCCATTCTGGAGTCAGAACTAAGGAATGAGAAATTTTCCTCATTTGCATTTTTACCTCTCAAATATGTTTTCACATATAGAGATTTTAAACTTTAATTTAGACTATCAAATATGTATTGTATGGTTTTTGCTTTTATTTATATGTGGTTAATAGGTAATAAGTTCTTGGGGTTTCTTTTCAAGTTTCATAGATTTGAAAACATTTTACTCTTAAACAAGTAATGGAGCCAGGTACAGTGGCTCACTGCTGTAATCCCAGCACTTTGCAAAGCTAAGGCAAGTGGATCTCTTGAGATCAGGAGTTCAAGACCAGCCTGGCCAACATGGTGAAAATCTGTCTAACAAAATACAAAATTAGCTAGGTGTGATGGTGTATATCTGTAATCCCAGCTATTCAGGAGGCTGAAGCAGGAAAATTGCTGAAACCCATGAGGCAGAAGTTGCAGTGAGCTGAGATCATGCCACTATACTCCAGCCTGAGTGACAGAACAAGACTTTGTCTCAAAGAAAAAAATGAAGAAAAGTAATGTATGGATATGAGAAAACATTTAAAAAATCAAAACCTGTTCAACTGCCAAATAAATAAAGAAAATGTGGTACGTGTACATGATGGAGTACTATTCAGCCATCTAAAAGAATGAGATCCTGCTGTTTGCAGTAACATGGATGGAACTAGAGGACATTATGTAAAGTGTAATAAACTGGCACAGAAAGACAAACACCACATGGTCTCACTTATTTGTGGGATCTAAAAATCAAAACAATGGAGCTCATGGATATACAGAGTAGAAGGATGATGACCAGAGACTGGGAAGTGGAGTTGAGGGGGGCGGTTGGGGAAAATAGGGATGGTTAATGAGTAAAAAATAACAGAATGAAGAAGGCCTAGTATTTGCTGGCAGAACAGGATGATTATAGTCAATAATAATGGTACATTTAAAAATAACTAAAAGAGTATAATGGGACTGTTTGTAACACAAAGGATACATGCTTGAGAGGCTGGATGCCACATTCTGCTGACGTGGCTGTTACTCATTGCATGTGGGTG